AATTAAATGTAATAACTGAATCTAGAACATGATAGAATGGATCAAACAAATAGATTAACAATAAAACACAAGCCTTCAATTAGATTACATCAGATCCCTAGAAAACAAAATGCAACATAAAGGAAAAGAAACAACGACACATAAAACCATAATCATGAAGAACAAAGGAGGAGGAGAGGAAAAAGAACCTCCTCTCCTCTCCAAACTCCACCTTTCCAAGAAGCCCCAAATGTATTCTCTCCCTAAAATGTGTATCTAAAACCTAAAACCCTCTAAAAGCTGTCTTTATATAGTTTTTAGACAAATGGAAGATTTGTAAATACTGGTCGCTGAAATTAAGGTTGGAAATGCGACATTTATACGTTCTGCGCAATTTGCTCCACAGCGCAATTTATTTGTGCGGTGTCTCATTTTAATTATGCCCCGACTTGTTTGAATTGAGCCCCGGAGTGTTTATGTTGCAGCTTAATTTAATTGAGCCGCGGCGCAAAGTCAAAATTTCACACTTTTACTTCTCGCCTTGATTTATCCGAACTCAAGTGAGTCTAAGATGTCCGAACACAAACACAAGCGAGAATAATCCATTCTTTTGCACCTAAAAACTTGAAAAAAAAAACGCACAACCTGTGATTCCGAAAGATAACGAAACATGCAAGAATTCACATCATAAATCATGCATTAAACCTTAAATTCCTTACAGTTTCACCCCTAAATCACTATATAAATCTGCATTTCCAACACTCAACAAGACCTGATATAGCCGCATCAGATCGTTGAAAGTATCCAGATGATCTTTGGGATCTCCTTTCCCATCAAACTTAATGTCTAGCACTCGGAATCCCTAGGGAAGCGGCGCTTGACGGACCTCCTCTGAGAATTGAGAACTTGCTATTCCCTTCACTTAAGTATTCTGCCAGGCACTTAGATCATTGAGCATTCTCTGCACCTGATCCAACTCAACATTTCCTGGAGGATTCTGTATGCGGGCTCTATTTATTCTCATTTTGAGCAAATAAGCCCTAAGGTCGATTGTTTGAGACCCTAATCAGTCCTGTATGCTTGTGCACGAATGATAAGTGCTTGAAAATACACTTATACTTAGTGGTTTATTGGGAGTATTTGGGGAAATTAGGATTAATTTGCATTAATTAACTTAATTATTTCATAAATGCACTTTTTGGGATCATAGGTATTTTTGTTGTGTTTTTACGGAATAAAGCTTAAAAATAATATTCGGATGAGAGATGATGTTGGCAAGAGAATTTGTGATGACTGAAAACAAACAAATCGAGAATCGGAGTTGAATTGAAGAAGTTATGGCGATTTGAAGTTGAAGGGAAAATCCTGAAAAACGCTCCAATTTTTAACATGCGTCAGTGATTCAACAGTAAATTGAGTTGTAGATGTTGTATCAAGATGATTCTTGAACTATTGGAAAGCTGATTTAAAGTGCTACATTTCATATGTTTACCACTTTTCCAGATTCCATCGTGATCGTGCTAAAAATCACCATCTCTAGAGTGCTGAAGAATGATGCAAGGTTAGAAGAGGAATTGGACTATGCTGCAACACACTTAGTCTAGAATCAACTATGTCGTAGCACAGAGTCGGGGCACAGTCACGATAGCTGGAAATCTTTCTTTTGTTTTTAACTAGGTAAATAGGGCTTAAGAGTTTTAAACTAAATAGAATTAAGGAAAACAAAACCCTAACCCTTGTGGGATATAAATAGAAGTCTTTTAGCATTATTTTGGGGATTTTTTTAGAGAGGATGGATAATATAGAGACCAAAAATACTCAATAATATAGAGATTAAGAGAGATTGAAAGAGGCTTGGACATAAGAATTAGGGAAGATCATCATCAACTCCATTGTTCTACCCAAGATTCCCTAAGTTTTTCTTATCTGTTGTTGTTATTTTGTTATTCATTGATATGATTATGTTTTTATTCTTCTCCATGAGTAATTAATTTTTTGTGATTGAGTGTCATTTCAAAACCCTAGACATGTCTTGAAATTAATAAAATATGCATCTATTTATCTTTTGATCCCTCTTAGTTATGTGATTATTTCTCTGTAAATAGGGTTTAGATAGATTGTCTCAATAGTTTAAGTGCGCAATTAAATTGTTAGAATTAATCTATTAATGCCAATTTAGGTTGCTTAGTACAGAATCGCTTTATTAACCTAAATAACTAGTGATAAAGTATATGTCTGCATACATGGGGGTTAATCACTCAAGATAACTAAACTAACCATATGAGTTTAGCCTTGATTCAGTAGGTCTTTCGCAACTTAATGCTTTTATTACTTTGAATCTAGAGATCATATCCTGGGTTATTTAATAAATAGGGAATTGGGTTATGACCGTGTCTAGTCTAATGACTCAGTATGGAGAGATGCGGGACTTATCAACGTTTGGTATTTTCTGAGCTAATGTGATCAAGAGGGTAGAAAGTTAAAGAATGCTTTTATTATATGTAATTCATGTCTAGTGGTGGCTAATAAACCTTCAATCTCACTTCTCTGATTCATCTCTTTCGTGATTGTTTGCTTGTTTTACTTTATTTAATTTTAGTTTGCTAGTTTTTGTTGAGTTTTTATAATTTGTGACAAACCCCATTAGAAGTAGATAATTAATTAAGTTCACAAATCTTCTGCGAGAAAGACCCTTACTCTTTTCTACTACACGACTTTGCTTTAGAATTTAGTGAGGTAAAATTAGGTGTTGCATTTGCACGCATCAGCGAAGCAGAATCATGATAGCTGGGGTAATACATACTGTTGTACTCCTTAGCTTCTTGCCCGTGATGTTAGTTAAAATCGAAACATCAATTTTTATTGCTAGATTGGCATGCATGACTAATCTTGCGTGCCTGTAAGGTATGAACTTGCCTTTGGTGTGGGCTAAAACTGGCACGCTAGTGCTAGGCATTTCGTCATTTAAGACAAGAATCTCTACAACGACCATTATTTTCCTTTTCCCCCATGGGTTCCTTGCTCGGTCGCCTTCCAAGATTAATATGTTCTTGGGTCTCATGCTCATGAGTGATGTGTGTCCTCTCCCGTCAGAGTTGACGGTCACTTCTCGCCGCTGATAAACCAAATTGTTCGCCAACTGGCCTATTCTACCCGCTAGGGGCAGGCTTGGTGAAGAATGACCGGTTAGGGTCCTAATTGGTCTATTGTTCCTTTCTCAAATTTACCACATTTTGTTGCACCACTTGTACAACTAGCGACCTTATCATGTCCATCAGTTGCCCATTTTTTGGGTTGGAAGTTCTTGCCCCTAACTGATTGGCGAGATGTTGGGGTGGTACTAGTGGTAAGTGACTTTGAGCAGTAGTCTGATTGACTTCCTGATGAGTTGTTTCCATATTATAATGGTTTCCGATCGTTGTTCTGGGTACTCTAGATGATCTAGTATGGGCCATAATGACTTTTCCAGTGATCGGAAGTGTTATGGGAATTGTTTCCTGCTGGGAATAAGAGAGCTTGAAGGGGGCCCTCGTTCTAGCGCAAAAATGTTTATACGAAAATTCACACCAACCGGAGAGATTCGATCGACCTTGGTGGAATTGGAATAGATGTGTGCGTGCTTAAATGAAAATCAGCAATGAATAATAGATGAGTAATAAAATAAGAACAGAAGACGATTTTTAAAGTGGTTCGGCAAGTTGAAACTTGAGCCTACGTCCACTGTTATCTTATTGTTTTTCAGAGCTTGCAAAAAATGTGTATTTTACCAAGAATAATATGGTAACCCCTCTTTCATTGTCTTAGAGGGTATTTATACATAAACTTTGCAAAGGAAAGTGAGGTAAATCCATGATTGCGATCAGATTCGGCATGCAATCCCGTGATTGTAGTGATTGTGCACTAAGATTGCGTTGACATCAGTGTAGATAATATCAAAAATAAAAAGAAAACAAAATTAAATAGAAAATAATAGAAAATATAAAATTTTTGTACAAACTCAAACAAAGCTCTAAAATACCAAACTTATAAAAAGTAAAATAACCAAATTGTTTTATAATAATTAGCTCAAGGCAAGAGATTAATTTAACAAATAAAAGAAACAAGAGCCAAAACTCTCTGTTTTTCTCACAAATAATCAATACAAAGAGGTGTTTACAGTATCTCTTAACCGCCCTTCAGCGTTAAATAAACTTTGCTTGGGACACACTTGTCCCTTTTATCTAGAGGTGGGAATTTAGGTCCGGGCCCAATGGGATTGCCCAAAAAGGGGACCTAGGACTGGTCCTTGGGAGGACAGGTCCTATAGGGCTCGGGCCCAGACCCGGACTAGGCCCAATGAGGAGGGACCGGTCCTTGGGTTGGTCCCTCCTCCAAGGCCTGGGCTTGGGATCAATCCTTGGGTTGGTCCCTCATCCAAGGCCCAAGCCTAGGACCAGTGCCAAGGCTGGGCCCAAACCCCCACCCTTAATTTCCCATACACCCTCGGGAAATATCAATAACCACCTTGTTATATATTAAATTGACAATAAATATAAGGTCTAAACTGAAATTTTGCAAATTAGGGGGGTAAAATAATTTTCCATGCCCATAGGACCTAGAACTGTTCCTAGGGAACAATTCGGGCCCTAATATTTCTCATGGGTCTGGGATCGGTCCCAATTTGAGACCAATCCTATTGGGCCCAGTCTCAGGTTCGGACAGGATTGGGCCTTGCCCAGCTCTACTTTTATCATTTATAATCAACTAATGCCATTTGTTTGGCTTAATTAATACAAATCTTAAGGGCTAAGGAAAGGGAGGTGGAAAGCCACAAATAAGACATGTTTCCACATTACAAATATAAAAATAACTTTTCAAACTTACAAAATTTTAACAAGGAAACAAAAAAAAAAAAAANTGTGTGTGTGTGTTTGTTTCCAAAAGTGAATTTGAAAACAAATCAAAATGTTTGAATTTTGTTAGGACTAATGAAACTTAAAAATAGAGAAAACAACTTTACTATGTTTTCTCCATTTTCTCTTTTAAGCCTTAATTTTAGTCCATATTTTCCTATTTCCAAAGAACAAAAACACACCAGAGCTGGTGAACAGCGTCTTCACAATTTCCCATGCTGGAATATGGAAAACAAGAAAATGAGAACGCGGCCATAATAGATTATTCATGTGTAAAACTTGGAATCATATAGAAACTTACATGAAAATATGATAGATATGAAAATTTATTATGCCATCACAGAGGCTGCTCAAAGCACAGCATTAACAAAAGGTTCATTGTGAAACATAACCAACAATTCAGGATGCCATTTAGAACAAGATTTGCTCTAAATTGGATAACACTTTCAGTACATCTGTGTGTCCGTGTTCTTGTGTGTCCGTGCCAATGATAATATATATCTATGCATTTAAAGGTCTGTCTATATATGTGTGCGTATGATGGAAAACTTTTGAAGAGATTTCACACTCAAGTTGGATTGAACACGTCTTTTCACTATCACCAAATAAATTTGACCATTCTACTTAAGAAACAACTCCAGTTTGCAATTGAAATAATAATTTCCTCAAAAGAAGGTAGTATAACCTAACTTCCCTCATTTTTTAATTAACTGAAGTCACCAGCCAACAGAAACATCTATCACGTGATAATATCTCTTATATTGAGCACAAAAGAGAATTTTTTTTATAGGAGAAGTAAAGAAAGATTATTTCCAAGGAAGTTATTTTGTTGATAATCACACACACACACAGAGATTTGTTTTTTTTTTTTTTTTTTTTTTAATTTATATTAAGCAACACACCACAAGAAGCACTTTGGGAGCAGAACCGTAATCCTTCATGGGAGGGTTTTGCATATAAACAAGTTCGACACCACCCTAAATCCAAAAGCCTAAGCCAATGGTTTGCTGGTTAACTGTTGCATATAAAACCTTCACTACTCACAAATTTACCAAAACACTTTGTACACCACAAAACACAGAATGATAATCTACTTTCTATTAAAGTAAAATTGAAAGCATCTTCCTATCTAACACTCAGGAGTCGCTTCCCTATAAAATTCATTCCAAGCACACCTGCCACTCGAAGTGCAATCTATATTATACTAGTAAATCAAAGTACAATCTAAAGTATGATTTTCAGTTCAAACATATAAAAAAAATATAAGTTCTTGGTAATGCAAACAAGAGTACACCTTTTGTGAACGGCAAAATTAAATGCCTTTGCAAACAACCCTCCAGTTTCTTTGCTGGAGGAAAAGGACCTTTTCCCCTTGGTTGAACCTAGTAAGAATGAAAACCATGACATGTAAGAAAGACAATTTGAATATCTTAAAAAAAAAAAAACAAAAAAAAACAAAAAAAAACTAACATGTATTCACCTGTGCCTCAGGATTCATTCCAAGAGCAAGCAATGATCCCAAAGCTTCTGCAAATGCATCCCTCACAGACAATAAAGGATCCTCAAGAGCCTACTAAAAGCAGCAGCAATAATGATATACATATAACCAGCTCCTCAGAAATTGACGATAATAAAAAAATAAAGAGGGGGAAAAGGAGAACAAATAACAGCCACCTTGACACAATGAGAGGCTGAACTGTCAAGTCCTCCAACACCAAGACCTGGTCCTCCAATGTTGGCAAAAGCCTTCAGACAGCGTGCAGCAGCTATTCTAACAACAAACGATTTGTCCCCAACAGCAAACCGCATGATGAGTCGGAATGCCTCAGTATATGCTGAAGCAGCAGCACTACCACCAGAGCCTTCCAAAGCATTTTGAAGCAAAAGTAGAGCCTCTTGTCTCACAAACTCCTGCAATTTGAGATTTGCAAAATTCAAGTTAATAACAAATTTGAAAGTGAACCTATCCCACATCAGTCTCTGTCAGTTCTTCAGCCAACAAATTCTCATCTCTGGACGGTAATCAAAGTTCAATTTTCCAACTCTCCTAGTAAAAAAGTAGATATCATTAAGACTTTTTCTTTTCTTTTCTTTTATTATAAGAAACAATAAAAATATTTAAAATTTAAATATAAATGGACTTACAAAGAGGTGGACTCAAAAACAAGACAAAACAAACAAAAATTCAGTAACTCCACATCTAACACTCCCTCAAACAGGATTTAAAAATTCAGAAAATCAATATAAAACAGTAGCTTAATCCTTTTGAACTCTTCAAATTGCTTTATAACTGAAGCCCACATAGAGTATGAACTGTCTCCTATGGTAAATCCACTTCATCATCCTCAGCTTCTTAAAAATTCCTTTATTTCTTTTAGTCTGAATGACCCCCGTCGCAACCAGTTTATAACACCTCCAAACGACAAGAGCTTTCTCACCTCCACAAATTCTTAACGGAATCCAATAAACAATGACACAAAAATTCAGTATAACCCAATCTATATCAGCCTCTCCAAAAATCTTGAACCATTGTTTCTACACATAAGACACCAATTTGGAGAGAAAAAAACCCTCAGCACCAAGATTGAATAACATCAAATATATTAATCTTTCCATGGCTTACCAACCAATACAAAACCTGAAGTCTTTCATTAAAGGCTGAGAAAATAAATCTTCCTCTATCAGTTCTCCCTTCCATGTTTTCATTCCTTGTTTTCATTAATGTAAATAAAATTTTTAAAGTTGCTTATTAAATGAAACTACCTCATTAAACTTCATTAGTTTGGTTGCAATAATAGTTGTTTCAAGCAAACCCGAAGTAATTCTTCTCCCAAAATGTCGATATAATTCTCCCAAGCATTGTGTGGCACCTACCAAAAAAAAGGAATTCAGATTATCAGATGTACAATCAACAGCAAAGCAAGCAGAAGGGTTAGGCGAACTTGCAAGGAAATAAGAAATATGCTTTTTCTAACAAAACCAGATAGCATGTATTTACCAAAAGCATGTGATATTAACACAGATGGTGCACAATTATACAATAATGCAAGCAATATTAGAAGAATTTTATATATAAAAAAGGAAAAGGCATCAAGAAAATCCAGAAAAAAGGTGGTGAAATACTGGTATGAAGTTATTATTAAAAAAAACAAGCAGTAGAAAAAAATAGATAAAAACCTTAACGTCTAAAATCCAATAAACCAACAAAAGGCTGTTTGCTGATAAAGGCTAGATAGGTGAGAGTAACAAACAATATAAATCAAATATAAACAAAAAGAGCTAGAAGATTTTAGAATTTCGAGATGCCACTTGGGTGATCATTTTCCTTATCTTTATAGGTTTTGTGTCAATAGAAATGTTTACATGCACTCTTTTATAGTTTTCTTAGCAAGTTCTCTAATATGGAATTAGAACTTCAATTTGAAAAGGAATTTGAAGGAGAGAGACACGTGAAAATCCATTGAGCTTTTGGAGTTGACAGGAAACGTAAATATTGATGAGACTAAAAAGGATTGAAGATTAAAAAACTTGGAGGCTTTGGGCAATTACTCTTGTAAATCCTTTTATGAGTGGTTGTTAAATGATTCCCCATTGATGACTTTAAACCTTGCAAGATAATATGGAAGACTAAAATCCCTTCTAAAGTCCAAGCCTTGTGGGGCTAAAGGCAAAATCAATATGAGATATGTGATTAAAAGATAGTATCTCTTGATATATCTCTCTCCATCTTGGTGTGTCCTTGGTCAGAAAAGTTTGCAGATTATGAATCATCTCTTCTTTTATTGTCCTATGGCTTCAAAATTAGGGTATAGAATTTATAAATAATTCAAAATATCATGGCTATTCCAAGTTCTTTAGATTCTTTACTTATAGAGAACTTTTTGCTTTTCAAGAAGGAAAAATGCTAAATCTCTCTAGAAATGTGTTGTATCAGCTCTTCTTTGGATTATATGGCCAGAAAGAAATAATTGTACTTTTGGTGAAACAAGCAGCAACAATAAGGGACCGTCGGACAGAGTTAGACTTTTTGCTTCTATTTGCGTATCACTTTCAAAGTAATTTCAAGACTCTTCTTTTTTCTCTTTATACATTAGTGAGAGGTCTTTTGGTCTGACTTTGTATGGATTGATTCCTTTGGCTCAAGGAAGGAAGATTATCTTTAACAGAATTTTGTCATTATCTGGTATAGAATTGCTTCTCTTCTCTAATTCGTTGATCTCTTTGTGAAATCTAGTGCACTGATGTCCTATCTTTTTGAAACACAAAAGATAAAAAGAAGACTCAAAAACATACATTATAGCTCCATAATAGAATGCTTCAATCATTCAAAAGGCCAATCACTCTCTTGTCCCAGATACTCCATAAAGAGGGGAACTGGATAATTCTCCAAAAAATGCAATTACTTATAAGCTAAACTTCTACAAATTGCCAACAATCCTACCATTGTTTCACGCATAACACAACAAACTCCCAAAAAATAAATAATAATAATAATAAAATTCATGGATCAAATCTACCATAAGACATAACAATTAAGCAAAAGATTATCACTACTTCACCTTTGTCTTATACACGTGCAAAACAGTATGCGCAAGTATCAATTTTCATGCATTAGATTGAAGAACAACTTTCATCTCTTCTGCTATAAGAGGATATACAGTATGCGCAAGTGTCAAGCTACAATATGTGAAGTTTTTGACTAACCAGCAACTTTCTGAGGCTCGCTCTTCTTTCCATCAGAAAGAAACCCTTGAAGACTGCTCACTCTTGAATATATCGAAATATTGTCTCCCTTTAATATTATTCTTCCCATCGCTATCGAAGCCAAATGTCTCACAGGTCGGCGAGCACCAAGAATAAGCATGGAGTACAATGCTTCCTCGCACTTTCTTTGCCATAACAAAATTGATTCCTAAATCAATCAAATCCAAAAGCAGACAATCCAATAAAATTAAAAAAAAAAAGGTGGAAATGTACATAAAATAGATTACTACATTTAGCTAAGACTGAACTTAATTTGTTACTTCCTACACAGGAAATGCTCAAAGCAACGCAGATCAAATGCATTCATTTAAAGAAAACGCAGAAGAAGTATAATGTGAAAGGAATAACAAGCATTGAATCAATTCGCATGGTTAAAATCACATTTGGAGTAAAAATGAGTACAGAAAGAAAACGCAGCGTTTAGATCGAGTGACCTTAGGCTCTTCGTCAATGGCGGAGATGAGATCGGAGAGAAGATCGAAGCAGAGGAGAGGGTCAGGCGATTGTTGCGATGCGGAGGTGACTATAGACTCTAGCTGCGCCACCAATACGCCGAATCGCGAGAGAGGAACGTTTTCTCTCACGTAGTTCCTCGCCATCTGCGAAGGAACGAACTCCTTCAGTTTCACAGTGTTTGAAGAAGGATCAAGTGAAGAAGTTTTTAAGTGGAAGAGATGCTAGCTCACAACGGTTTGGCCAAAAACCTTTCCGAAAGAAAATAAATAAAAAAATTTGCCAACGCTACAGTGAGGTTTTTTTAATTTTTATTTTAAGAAAAAAAAGGTCTAAATTTTGAGGGTTTAACATTTAATTAGTGGTCGAATGTGGTTCAATAGGAAAAAAAAATAATTAAAAAAACATTTTTAACATTTTCGTGAAATCTCTGTTAGTAAAGGTGAGCACCCTAAATATAATATGTAATTCCTTAAAATTGGGATATATTTTTTTATTTATTTAATACATTTTTCATAGAAATATCAATTTTTTTTTAGGTGATAACCTCATTAATTAACATCTATTAACTGTTTATATGCTAATTAATTAATGGTTTATTATCATCTTAAAAAACTCTGAATTCAAAGTAATATCTTTCAACTTTTATTATTTTGGTAAGCAACCATATGAATTTAGCAAAATCTTATAATTTTAATCCCAAAGGGTTAGTCTGACGATTAAGAATATTTATTTCTTATATTGATTTCTTAGATTCAAATTACCTTAGATCACTTATCACATTTGTGATTTACGTTACTTCCGTGTTAGAAGAGTTCAATCCTGCATCGATGCATCTTCGGCCTTGGGTTCACATAACTATTAAGGGTAGTTAATAGTTGTAAAAATCACCTTGAGTTTTAGACCAGAAAAACAAACATTGGCATACTCGAGCTTGAAACTAAAATCAAATCAAATGAACTTGGCCGCACCCCGAAAGCCAAGTATTTATGGCATTGCATAAAGAGGAACCAATGCACTCTACATCGTTCACAATCATATCTAGGCACTTTGCTGTTATTTTACAGTAATTTTCAACAACTTATTACTTTAAATAATTGAATTTGGGGGATCAAGTTGAAATTAACCAAGTTTTGAAGGGTTCCCTTTAGGTAATATCTTTCATCTTATTTTCGACAATTATTTTCTCTGTCTTTTTTATTAATGGAACAACAATAAATTATATATATATATAATTTGAGATCTCAACTTTGAATGTGAACTCATATACATATTTAAGTGTCAACACTATAATGATTATAAAACAATTGGATAAGTTAATAACTTTCCTAAAATCAATATGGTGTAGCAACCATTTAGGATACAACTCTTTTATGTGTAACAATAATCTTGTAAATAAAGAGATTCCGATTGCAATCTGTCAAAACTTGAGTTGGCAAGAGAAGCAGAAAGAGGAAAGGAGACTGCCAGAGCATGCCAAGAAAGAAGAGAATGACAGAAAGACTTTTGTACTTTTGTATATTGTATACTCTTTGTGTATTGATTCAATTTATACATAAAACGTAAGCATAAGAATGGAAATGTAATAAAGTTTAATTACACAAATTATGGATGATTGATTTGAGATGATTATGCCAAGAATCAAGGCTGGAGTCAAGGCATAATCATAGGATGGAAGGAAGGTTGTGATCAAGCCATAACCACAACATTATATTCATCACTCTCTCTCTCAAGCTTGTGGTTTGCATATGTCATAAACTCCAAGCTTGTGAAGAAGATATGAATGTTGTCTACTGCATAAAGGTTTTGTAAAGACATCTGTTGGTTGCTCCATAGTGCGAATACGAAGAGTCTTGATTATCCCTTTCTAAATTTTTTCTCTAATGAAGTGACAATCAATTTCTATGTGCTTTTGTTCTTTCATGGAACATCGGGTTTGCTCAATGTCATTTGCGGCCTTGTTATCACAGTATAATTGAACAAGCTTACTTGTTTGTATTTCCAAATCTCCTAGTAACCCAAGTATCTAGGTGATCTCACATATTGCTTTTTTCATGGCTCTGTATTAAGCTTTTACTGATGAAAGAGATAATGTCAATTGCCTCTTTGTTTTCCAAGAAATCAGAGCTCCTCCAAGCTTTATACAAAACCCGGTGAGGGATTTTCTCGTCATTGGACATGTGGCCCAATCAGAGTCGCAGTATGCAGTAATGTCTAAATTTCTGTCTTGAGGTAAAAGAAGTCCTAGGCCAGGACAATCTTTCAAGTACTTAAGCACTTTCATTGATGTATCCATGTGGGATTGCTTTGGCTTATGCATAAACTGGCTGAGAATATATGTACACAGCATAGTTGATGTCTAGTTGTGTCATGGTGAGATAAATAAGCCGCCCTATAAGCCTTTGATAATGTGAGGGATCCTCTAGTGGTGGATTAATTTATGAGGATGAGATCCCTTTATCATAATCCTGAGTGGTGAGCTTGGAGTTTTGTTCGACCGAAACAATACTTGGTCTGCATGCTGACAATCTAGAATCTGATATAAGCTCTAGAACATACTTGTGTTGACTAAGGGAAGTGTTGATCAGAGATCTTGCAATTTTAATCCCAATAAATATTTTGGTTCCCCAAGTCTTTTATTCGAAAATGTCTGTTGAGATGCTCTTTTAATAATCTGATGGCTGCTTCATTATTACCTGTGATCAAAATATCATCAACATAGATGATGAGGGCAATGAAGGTTTTACCTTTCTGCCAAGAGAAGAGTGCATAATCATACTTAGATTGGACAAATCTTAAGACTGTGAGAGCTTCTATGAATTGTTCATTCCACTATCAAGATGCCTGTTTTAAACCATAGAGGGACTTTCGTAGATGACATATTGTGTTCTCCCCCTGTTTGCGAAGTCCTTGTGGCAGATCTATATAAATTTCTCCATGTAGATCACCATGAAGGAATGCATTATGAACATCCATTTGATAGAAAGACCAGTCTCGAACAGAAGCAATAGAAACGAAAGCTCAGACAGTAACATGTTTGCAACAAGGGAGAATGTCTCTTGGTAATCAAAGTCCTATTGTTGAGTAAAGCCCTTGGCAACTAACCAAGTTTTCTAACATTCAATCGATCCATTAGCACGGTGTTTGATTTTATAAACCCATTTGCAACCAATAGGATTCCGATGAGGTGGACAAGGCACCAAGTCCCAAGTATTATTCTAAGCAAGAGTCGTAAGTTCATCTACCATGGCTTGCTACCAGTGAGGATGGTGAACAGCTTCATAATAAGTGGATGGTTCACGATTGGCAAAAATCTGATGAACACATACCATGTGGGCAGGAGATAGACGGTTATAGTTGACATATTTAGAGGTCGGTTAAGGAGTATCTGATAGAGCCAATGTGGTGGAACAAATGTAATCTGTTGTCCAGATATGAGATTGGGTGATACGGGTGGACCGTCGTTGAGGAGGCCTAAAAGTTGGTGTGGGAGATACTTGAGGCCTTGATGGTGGTATGGGAGATACTGGAGGCCTTGATAGTGGTATGGGAGATATTGGAGGCCCTATTGGTGATACTGGAAGATATGTAGGTGAAGTGTCAATACTTTGTGTTGTTTCTACCAATGGAGAATCAGGGATTAAACTAGTAGGTATGTATACATTTGATGGGAGGCTGATGTCATTGGCAGGTAGCATTGTAAAAAGAGAACTTGTCAGCCCATCATCCTCCAAAAAAATGGTTGACTATTGAGGAGGGGAGTTTGAACTTGCTTCATTGTTGAGAAAGAGGAAACTATCTTCATAAAATACAACATCTCGAGAAACCATAAATTTGTTTGTAGCTAGATCATAAAGATAATAATTATTCTAGAGCATTGGGCATCCCATGAAAATGCACCGAGTGGCCCGATGTCCGAACTTGTCATTGACCCAATAATGGCAGAGTAATAGAGAGAGCCAAATACTTGTAGATGATTGTTGTCAGGTGTTTTGATGAATAACATTTCATATGGAGTCTTACCACCAAGTATCTGAGTTGGCATGCGATTGATCAGGTAAATGGCTCTAATCACACATTCACCTCAAAATTTAATAGGAATGTTGGTTTGGTGTTTAACGACACGGGCTACTTCTAATAGGTGTCGATGTTTTCTCTCGACTACCCTATTTTGTTAAGCTATATAGGTGCAAGAACTCTCGTAAAGAATTCCAAGAGAGGAAAAAAGAGTTGAGCATTGATGGTTAACGAAGTCATGAGCATTATTTGTCCAGACATGTTGGACAAATGAATGGAACTGATTGGTGACCACAGTTAAGAAATTTTTAATAGTGAAAGTTTGGGCTTTTGACTGCATAAGAAAGACCCATGTGTCATGGGAGAAATCATCTACAATTGTGAGAAAAAATATGGATCCATCATGGTTAGGAGTGTGGTAAGGACCTCAAATGTCTAGGTGGGTTAGGGAAAAAAGTTGTATAGTAGAGAATGTGCTATGTGGGAATGTTATATGGGATTATTTTGCTAAAGGGCATATTGGACATGTAGGTTGAGGGATTGACGCACTATGACCCAGTCTTTAATGGAGAATGAAAGTATGTTTATTGATATTTGTATTACAATGAACAGTTTTATCTGTAATACAAGATGACAAACTTTGAAATTTATTGGAAAAATTATCAGGAGTCCAATAGTATAAACCATTATTAACTCTAACCAAGCTCATCAGTGTCCCAATCGAAGGGTCTTAAAATTCACGTGTTAGAAAGGAATTTTAAGAGGCAACTATTATCAATGCAAATTTTGGAGACAAAGATAAGATTAAAATGGAAGGCATGAACAAAAAGAACATTCTTGAAAATTAATTTTTCAGTGAGAGGAATTGTTCCTATGTGGGTGGCTGGGGTGATATTCTCGTTTGGCATACGAACGGATATAAATGATGCAATGGTTTTATGAGAGAAAAATTTTGGGTTGCAAATAATATGATTACCAGCCCTTGAATCAATAATCTAAACATCATCTTTAATAAAATTCAAGAAAAACTATGTACCTGCATAAGATACGGTAGATATGGACGAGATTTGGTTCATCATTTGAGGGATTGATTGTATTGTTCTATACTAATAAGTGGTGATTAGACTTGATTTCTAGCAAGAATGGTGGTAACTTGATGAATGGTTGAATTTCCACTTTTGTCCAAAACGCCCATGTAATTTCTAGCAATGATCCCGAGTGTGGTTC